CAGCAGAGCTGTGTGGGTGAAAATTCAACAGGATTGTGCCTGAGGTGAGAGCAGATGTTGAGAAAACAGAACAGTGCAATAGTAGCAGATTCCTTGGTCACACTACTGATCCTGGTTTGACAGGCCTGATCCCAAAGGGAAGTCATGGAGAGTGTTGGTCACGTTTTGTTCATGGTGGAGAGATGTGAGGACAGCAGGGAGTCCATGGCAGTGAGGGCATCAGAGGGTAATGGGGATGAGGATGACTGCATGCTGACCAGCCCCAGCAGCCCAGTGGCTCCATTTCTCCAAGCTGAGGGTGATGATGGGGGCAGAAGACAGGAGGAGCAAGGTGAGGATGCAGCACAGGATCCAGGTCCAGAGGGGAATGGCTGACCTTGGTAGAGGGTTGGGTCACAATGTGGACAAGGCAGGTGCAAAAGGAAGGACATGGTGGAAAGGGCACGTGAGCAATAACTGATCTATGAGTGGGAGCAATATCTTTGTTGAAGGATTGCTTTTAATACTCCAGTGGCATGGGCTGTACAGAGTACAGGCTGGACTACAATTTATTTTTGTCTGGGATTTGGGCTTGAGAAGAAAAGCCAACCGAAAAGAAGAGGTATTAGCAGAGTGCAAATATAGAGATTTGAGGGTGTGGTAGATGTCTCAGCTGAGCTCAGGCCAGAGATGTCTCTCCTTTCTATTCCTGTGTACATCTAGAGGCTTTCCATGTGTCTGCAGCCATCCCTTTGGATCTCTAGGGCTGTCTTTGGGCACCTCAGCCCCATTCCATGAGGGAGGGTGGAAGGCAGAGGTACAGTTGGTGAGGGAAATCGAAGTTTCATCTTCATTTGAGCAGAACCAACTCCTCATTGCACACACCTATTGCCAGAGCCATGTGAGTACAGCAATGCCTGTGCACCCGTGTGGATGTGAACATCTGTGTGGGCAGAGGAAAGAGGACAGATGTAGCTGTATCACATGATTTGTATCCATACATTACATTTGACATAGTGGGATGGAGATGTCTTCACCTAAGGTGCTCATGTGTACATGGGCAATATATGGAATATATCTGATATGTATTTATCCATCAGACATTGCAAATACACATGCAAATCACAGATAGATTTTTGGTTCATGCCATCCAGAATACATTTTTGATGGGTGTGAAAAGGGCTGGGCCTGGTGGATGGCATGGGTGTGGACATAACGGCATGGACAGGGCTTGTGGGGATGTATTGTCCTCCCAAGTCAAGCATTGGCAATTCCACAGAAGAGCTGGTGGGGAGAAGGGATTGGTGCATGCCAGGATGATGGTGATGGGGACAAATCTGCTGGGAGCTTGTAGAGATGCCTGTAAACCCAATGTGCAGCGGTGGGTGGGAGTGGAGTTGTGAAGGGAAAGATCGAGAGCATGGTCAGAGGAGGAGCTGGAGGAGCAGCCCCAAGGCTCCCAGCTGCCAGCCCTTCCCCAGCACAGCAAAGCCCAAGCAAGCCCAACCTGGACACACCAGTCCCGTTTGACCAGTGCAGGAACTCTCTGCCAGAGATTCTCCCTGGGCACTCACCAAGCTGCAGTGCTACCTGGGCTGGCTGTGGCAGTGCCTCACTGTGGCATATGCTGCAGTGCTGTTCAGCTCTTGCACATGAGGCTTGAGAGGGAAAATGAAACCCTGTTATTTCATCTGCTGACTGCAAGCCCTGCACAAGCCTCTGGCCCTGGGCTGCAGGAGCTGGGCCCTTTTGTATAACCACCCTGAACTGTGTTAGTCAGTTAGGTAGCAGAAATAATGGCAGACTGGAGCCAATCCTGTGTTTACAAACTTTTCTTTCTTGTTTTTTTCCCTGTAGTTTCAGTTTGATTTTTTCCCCACTTGAAAAGCCACAAGAAATCTAGGCATGAACCATTTTTCCAGGGAAAATATTTGTAGAAGATAATAAGAAAAAATAATTTACTTTTTGTAAAATATGTGTTATAAATTTTCTGCAACTGCCTCAGTTAGGTTCTTGGTGGGAATGGTCCTATGGGACTCCTTAGCCTACTCCATGGGCACAGATCCATTATGACACCACACATCCCATACCCTGGGTTCCTGCTCCCTGATTTGGAGCTAAAGCTGTGCTACAACTCACCCTGTCGTGTCCAGTGTGGGAGATGGTGGAGTCTGGTGGGGAACAAAAAACACACAGTGAGCCCTTGCTTCCTGTTCTATGAGGGATGAGCTACACCCTGACTTAGAACAGTAGAACCCCTGGGATCAGGAACAGAATCCCTTGCCCTATTTCCTCCAAATCTCACTCACTCCTGACAGAGCAATGTGTGCTTCCATCTGTGGATGTGGAGCAGGGATGGGGATTTGGCTGCATTCCCCCAACCTACAGCATTTTCTCTTTGCCCAATTAGTAGAGCTTTACCTGATGCTCTGTGCCCATGTGGAAAACCCAAGGCACCTTGCACAGGGATGGTGGGACATATTCCCCTTCCCCCACTTACAGGCCCCTTGGCTTCAGCCTGTGGGCTCAGAGCTAGCAAGGAGAGCTTTTCCTCGCTGGAGCCCATCCGTGGACCCACATCCTCAGTTGCTGCACTCTGCTGCGAAGCAGAAATCATGGAGAAGAGAAACCAGAGAGGGGGAAAACCAGCAAGGCCAGTGGGGCTGGATTGCAACCTGGGGCCAGAGAGTGTAGGGACAGACTGTGCCAGGACATAGGCTTGGTCACCTTGAGCACTGGGATGCTGTCATATTTGTGCTGCAGGCAGAAGCTGGGATGTGTGCGCAAGGAAGTAGTGGGGAGCAATGGTGTGTGGAGAAATCTGCCCTTGTTCACTGGGCAGTTGTTTTGCATATCCCCCTGGGACATGAATTGCTGGAATTGCATGTGGAATTGGGAAAGGTTCTGTATGGCAGTGCAGTGAGTGGATGGGATGGATAGCATGGAAAAGGGGGTTTGGGGCAGGTATCTACAACTTCATGTGTCTGCTGATGGGGTGCTGCAGCCAGTCAATGTGTGGAGGCCTTCTGGTCATGGTGAATGGCAGCCAGCCCATGAGAAGGGATACCCCATAGACAGAGGGGTCAATGATTCAACCAGAGGGAGAAGGTGGTACTCACACTGTATTTCACTGTAGTCTGTTACTTCAGTCTCATGGCTGGGAACTTGCTGCTGCCTGGAGAGAGTCAGGGAAAGGGTTTTGAGGTCTGTGTCCAGTGATGAGCCCATTTCAGTCGTTGCCATGGATGATGCTGTCTTGTAGCAGTCAAGCCCAGGGCAAGCTCTGCTTCTCCCTGTCTGCACCATGGGGACAGAGCATGCTGTCCCTGGCCTGGGACCACCCTATAGTGCCCAAGATGCCCCCATCTCCATCACCCCCAGCCCTGTAAACCACTGAGATTCCTGCTCACCTTTGGCATCTCTCTCTGCAGGCCACTGCAAGGAAAAGAAAGGGAGAAGTGGGAGGCAGAGTTCCTGCACAGGCTTCACTTTCCATGCTCTGAGCTACTCTATGAGGATAATGGGCTGAGCCTCAAACCTGACTTCAAGCTCAGGCTATACAATCATGAATTCCATTTGCCCGATTGGCTTCTCCTGAGTGCTCAGTAGCTGTTGATAGGCAGCATTGAGAACCCATGCTTGCTACAAGGCCAGCTCAGAGACTCACTTGGTAGGCCCATAGGATGAGGAAAAAAAATGTGCCTGGGGCGGGGATGCATTTGGCCTCTCCCTCCCCACTTTGACATTAGAGAACAATCATCCTGGAGGTAAAGTCATTCTCAGAAATTTTATTCCACTCAGGTTACCATAAGGGGCCTGAGAGCCTCAGCTTCCTGTGAAACAGTGGTAGAGCCATGAGCAAGACAACTTAGGGCCTGCCTCAAGTTTTACCCTCAATTTCCTCAAATCACTCATGTTTCCTCACGACACAGCAGCTGGCTGCAGCCAGAAGGAGGGAGATGGCTCCAATGATGACTGGGGTGATAAAGGTTTGGAGTGGCTGGGTTTTTGTTGCTGTGGGGACAGGCAGTGTTGAGAAAGACGGAGAAGCTTGAGGAGAGGAAGCAGAGAAGAGGACATGCTCTTAGAGCCAAGCTAGATCGCGATGGAAGAACCTCCCGAGCACACAGTGCTGACAGTTGGGCAGTCCTCAGCCCAATGCTGAAGGACACTGGGTGTGCATGGAAGGAATCATTCACCATTAGTGGACATCACTGTTTGGAAGATGGACCTATTGCCTGGGAGGAGAAAAGGACAGGGTGAGAGTCTCCAGCTCCCACAGGTACTGCACAGACTAAGCAACTGTGGGGACCCCATGATCCACCATCTATCAACTGTCATGATCAATAAAAGAATGCCCTGCACAGAAGTGGCTCTGGATTATATCTGGCACCACCACTCTCCCATTTTCATGATGCTGGGGGCTGGAGAGGAGCAGGATGCTCTCCCATGACTGTGAGGAGTGTCCATGAAGGCAAAGGCTGGGCTGAACTAAACACTGACCCCCGGTATCCCAGCTACTCAGGGACATCCCTTGAGACATGTCAGAGTCACCTCCCTCACTTGGTGTCTGTGGACGCGGAGATTGTTGCCTGCCTATGCCCCATTTCCACATCTCACCTTTGACAATCAGTTTCCGGGGAGCACTGAGAGCAGAGTTCTTCACTTGGTTGCTGTTGTCCTTGTGCTGGTATCCACATGTGTATGTCCCTGCACTCTCCATCGTCACATTCAAGGGCACTAAATAGCCCTCTTGCCCCTGCTGGACTTTCAGGCTTTTCACTTCCACACCATTCTTGCAGAAGATGATTCGGGAGGCAGGAGAATTCCAGCCAATGAAACACTGAAACAAAATCTTTTCCCCCTCCTTTACCTCATAAGTGTCCATGAAGAGGACAGGAGCTGGGAAGTCACCTGGAGACATGGCACAGGAATGACTCAGGACAGTGTTACTGCTGACAGGGAGGGAAAATACCTCAGATATGCGAGTTTCTTCTCCAGGGGTTCACATATGGGGAACAAAGTCCTTCTCCCTTCCCATCTCCAGCATATAGCCCTATACTCACGATCACCAGGGAAGCTGCAGATGTCCTGGATGATCATGCCATCACCCGCACCTTGGGGCAGAGGGTTTTGATTAGATGAGCAGCAACCCAGCTCACCCCTGTGCCCCGTCCCATGTTCCTACTGTTGAGTTGATGCTTGGTGAGCACCTGCCCAGCCATGCAGCTACATCCTGCATCTCCTTTGTCTCCTAACATGGCACATCCCCAAGGCCATTTTTGACTGGGATTGTGGCTCCAGCTGGATATCTCTGGCTTCCTAAAGCAAATCAGCCTCTCCCAAGTATCA